AACATATTCTATTGTGTACATTTAAAGTGTACAGCATAGCGTTATGGGATTGCTATAGATAGAAAAAATGGTTACTTTGTTGAAGCAAATGGACATATCTGTCATCTCCTGTAGCTACTCATTTTGGTGAGTTTGTTTTGTGGTGAGAGCCCCTAAAATCTACTCATTTAGCAGAAATCTGAAACACAGTGCAGTTTTATTTACTGCAGTCTTCGTGCTTTACATTAGATCTCCACACTTGCTCATGCTGCATGTCTGCTGCTTTGTAACCTCTAACCTGCGTCTCCCCACTCCCCTGCTCCACCTGCACGCCCCTGGTAACCACGGTTTTATCCTCTATCTCTATACACTTCACTTTATTTTTTTAGATCCCACATATAAGTGAGATTGTGCAGTATTTGTCCTTCTGTGTCTGGCTTATTTGAGTTAGCATCATGTCCAGATCACCCATGTGGTGGCGGGATGATGTTCTTTGTTAAGGCTGAATAATTGCGTTTATGTACATCAAAACTTCTTTGTCCATTCTGTTGACAATTGGGTTGTTTCCATGTCTTGGCTATTGTGGATAATGCTGTACTGAACATGGCAGTGCAGATATTTTTACGAGGTGGGATTTCATTTCCTTTGGGTATATGCCCAGAAGAGTGATTGCTGGGTCATATGGTAATTGTATTTTTAATTTCTTTAGGAACCTCCATGATTTTTTCATAATAGCTGTACCAATCTACGTCCCCACCAAAAAATTTTTTTTTCCAAGAATAAAATTTTGGGAGCAGAATAATATCTGGTTTTTGTTGGCTGTAAGGAAGAGGAAGCCACTGTCCTTTTATTTTGCTGATGGTGCTTTCACCAGTATTAGGAGAGAGGTCGAGTTTTGTTAATGCGTGTCAAGAGCAGAGAGCTCGGTAATTACCATCTGTCATCTGTGTTTGTCCCTTGGTGAAGTGTCTGTTCAAAACTTTTGCCCACATGCAGCTGCGGATGGGGTTAAGAGGGAGTCGTCTGACTTTTTAATATTGAGTTGTAACTTTTCTGTGCATATTATAGGTAAAAGCCCTCTGTTGGATATATGTTCTGCACATATTTTTTTCTAGGTTTTGGCTTGTCTTTTTTTTCTTGTGTCTTTTGAAGAGCAAAAGTTTTGCATTTTTCTGATGTCCAACTTATTGTTATTTTTTTCTTTTACAATTCAAGCTTTTAGTGTCCTATTTAAGAAACCTTTGCCAAATCCAAGGTCACTAAGACGTCCTCTTAGGTTTTCTCTGAGCAGTTTGATAGACTGTTAGGTTTATGGCGCACGTCGAGTTAGTTTCTGGATGTGATGTGAGGTAAGTGTCAAGGTGGTTTTTGTTGTTTCTTTTTTTGCAGATGGCTATCCAATTGTTCTGGCACCATTTGCTGGAAAGATCATCCTTTCCCTCATTCATGGGATTTGTCATTTGACTTTTGTACTTTTGTTGAAAAGCAGTTGACAAGATCCGTGTTGGCATATTTCTGGACTCTTTAGTCTTTTCCGTTGGTATAGATGTGTGTTTTGTACCAATATCATTAATATCGTGGTTACTGTCGCTTTGTAATAAACTCTGAAACCCGTTATTGTATGCCCCTTTGTTTTCCCTTTTCAAAGTTGTTTTAGCTATTCTAGGTCCACTAAATTTCCATATGTATTTTTGAATTAGCTTGTCAATTTCTAAAAGAATAAAAATCCTGCTAGGATTTTGATTCGGATTGTATTTAATCTGTCAATCAGTTTTGTGAGAATTGACTTCTTAACAATATTGAACCTTCAAATTCAGGAACACCGTGTACCTCTCCATTTATTCCTTTAGTTTCGTCTCTCAGCAATGATTTGTAATTTTCAATGTACAGGTCTTGCACTTTTTTTTCTTCAAATTTATCCCTAAGCATTTCATATTTTTGATGCTGTGGTAAAGGGTATTTTTAAAATAAGTGCCTGAAACATCATTAGCCATTGGAAAAGGTAATTAAACCCACAGTTGGATACCACTCCACCAAGGTGTCTCACCCTCACCACTGTAGATATGTTGAGCCTGACAGTATTTTGTTGGGGGGACTGTTCTGTGCATTGTTGGATATTCACCTGCATCCCTGAGCTCCACCCACCGGATGCAATATCACTTCTCCTCCTCCCCAAATTGTAACAACCACAAACATGTCCAGACATTGCCAAATGTCCTGGGAGGCAAAATTGCCTCAGTTGAGGACCACTGGATTACACAACCACTCCTATGATTAAACTAAAAGGACTGTTGACAAGACTGATTGAAGCAGCCGGAGCTCACACACACTGCTGTTGAGAACGTAAAATGGTTACACGTGCTTGGGAAAACAGCTTGGCAGTGTCTTTAAAAGTTAAGCCTAAAAACCTACCACATAACCCAGCCATTCTACTCCTAGGTACTTACATAAGAGAAAAGAAAGCACATGTCCAGAGACATGTCCGTGACTATGTGTAGCAGCTTGATCTGTAATAACCAAGAGCTGAGAGCAAACTCACATGTCTATGCACAGGTGAACAGATAAACACACGCTGGTATGTCCATACAAAGGAATACTACTCAGCGAGGAAAAAGAATGAACTATTGATACAGACAACAACATGGATGGATCTCAGAGTAATCACACTGAGCGAAAGAAGCCAGACCAAAAAAAAGAGTACATATCCTATGATTCCGTGTATATAACACTGTAGAAAATGAAGAGCTATGGTGATGGAGCAGATCAGCGGTTCCATGAGGAGAGAGTTTAAGGAGGGATCGATTAGGCAGGAGAGGAAACTGAGCAATGATGGATATGCTAATTATCTTAATTATGGTGACGATTTCATGGGGATAATGTCAGAACTCTCCAAGTTGTACACTTTAAACATATGTGGAGGGGTGTTTTTGTATGTCAATTACATCTCAATAAAACTGCTTAATAACTATTACGCAAAAAAGAAATGGGTGGAAAAAACATTTTAGTAAATAGAGAAAGGCTGTGTAATGGTTTAATAGGAGACACTCATGACACGGACAGAAATCACAGTGGAATTTCTATCTATCATCCAACTGTGAAAAAAATTAATAATAATTTGAGGTCATTTTCGTCCTGCTTTAAGAAACCTAGAAATGCCAATCTCCCCACCCCCGCCCCACCCTGGCAGCCACACTGGTGACCCACTATTTTTACTTTAGACAGAGATAACTGGTCCATTAAAGTTGACAATTTTAAATTAGAATATTTCTGAAAATGTTTTTCCTCCTTTTGGATAAACTCAGTAATTTTTTTTTTTTTTTTTTTGTCTTTTTGTCTTTTTTCCGTGTCTGGCAACGGATCGCAACCCTCAGTGTTGCCCCCATACCGGACCGGGGACCGGCAACGGGATCGCAACCCTCGGTGTTGCTCCCGCACCTCGCTCAGCCAGTGAGCGGGAACCGGTCTATACGTGGGATCCGAACCCTCGGACGGGAGCGCCGCCGCGCTTCCCAAGCGGCGCACTATCCAGTGCGCCACCGGGCCGGCCCTAAACTCAGTAATTTTTAAATGACATAAAACCACATCCGTGAAAAATATGGAAGAAAATGAACGTATCTCTGTAGCCTAAAGACAGCGCTGCCAGAATGTTCCTCTGGGAGGGCCTGGTCTTTGTAAGTGTTTGGAATGAAAGGCAACAACTGAATTGTGGCCTCTACTACTAATAAATGTTTGCTGAAAACCTCCGATGACACAATTTTATAGGTTAAGACCAGTGACTTCCCCTAAGACTAACTCTAGGATCCCGACTTTGTCACTGTTTGGTTCCTCCCTATCTAGTACTTGGATGTGACTTGTAAACTTTTGGGAGAACATTCAGAACAACTTTAGCAGGCGATTGGTAAGTCCGTGTGGAGAGTGTCTCTGCTCACCGTGTTTTTAATTTCTCTAACCAAGCCATGTCCAGTGTTTCAACAATGGGACTGATTTCCTGTCTCACTTTAGATGTTAATACTGTCAGCAAGCCAGTGGCATGACTTGCAAGAAACTCCACATTTGAATGTAAAAAACAAGAAAAGAAAAAAATTGGGGGTGGGGTGTAGGTGGAAGGAAACAGAATTATATCTTCTGTATGATTTTCTGGCAGATCATGTTCAAAACAATTATTTAAGAGGCATAATTCCTACTCAGTATGGGAAAGAGAGATATAACTGTATTGATGGTTTCAGGATTTTCAGGTAACAGTGCGACACCTTAAAATGAGCGGTGGTTGTGTACTGCATCCGCCTCTGTAGAAAGAAAAAAACTGATGGTCCCCGTGTTCCTCTCAGACCTACCCATCAGCGACATTGTGCCCCACGTGACTCACAGGCCGTTCCCCACATTTGCATTAAGAGCATTCTTGGGTCTGATTTTGCTTTTTTCCCAAGCCCCTGCTCACACCGTGGTTTTGTGTAGTGAACAGTTATTAGCAAGTTCCTGGACTTTTCACTATCTGCATGTGATACGTGTACATGCAGCACATATCATTAAATAATTTGGATGTAGCTTTACTCTGTCTGACTGGTGAATTAAAATGTAAAATCTGGTCAGGTCCAAGGCAGTAAGGAGTGTGGGAGAGGCTTCTGTTCGGTGTACCCGGGCTATTGGCATGTTAGAATCCAAGCCACCGTAAGGCCACATGGAGATGACCGGCACTTTGCCCTCCTACATCAGACCTTAATAAGTCAAGGTCTTCTGGGGGAGCTCTGTGGGCATCTGTATTCCACCTGTGTCTGTGGAAAAGAGCCTCACTGGGTGCGTTTCCTTTCCCTCCCCCCCCTGCCTCAGTCTTCCTGACACTCCCCAACCAGGAGCTGGGGAACGGCCCATCCAGCAGTTGCCCGTGGGGATACGTCAGGCACGTGATGGGCCGGCAGGACAGTGTGTCCAGTCCAGGATCCACGTCCTGTTGTCTGATTTACCTGGTTTCACAACTGTCGAGAGCAACAGAGCATGCTTCAAAGTTGCTTTTCTCTTTCCAGAAGGACGTCTTAAAATCAGATCTCCTCGTCTGCTCGGTGGTTGCTGTCCTGTCTTTTGCAGTCAGTGCCAGCACGGTCTTCCTGTCACTTCGAGTACGTATCCGCTCAACCTGTACCCTTCCCACCTCCTTCCTCCCTTGGTGACAGAGCTGCTGTGGAGCCACAGGGCATGACAAGGTAGCTGAGCCAGAGGGAAAAAACAAAAGGCCATTTGGGAGGTACAAGGGACATGTCCACATGCCACAAAGAGCTATAGTCAGGGTGGGGTCTGTCCCCACCATAAATCTGGTTCCATTGTTTTCTGCATCTGGGGAGCTGTGGGGTTGGCAAGAGCGAGGGCACATCTTATGGGTCCCCTGTAAGGACAGTCAGTGGTGATGGGATGGCCAACGGCACACTCATGAGCGGAGAAGAGTGGTGTTAGGCACAAGAGTGCGACAGAGGTCACGGAACCTAAAAGATCACTGCCATGTGACTGTCAAGTGGGGAGGCCCAGGTGGCTGTCCTGGCTCACGGCTCGTACAGACAGTTGTTGTGTCTGTGCAGAAGTACTGTGCATGGATGAGCTCCACTTTCAAGGAGGAAAAGCCCATCATCAGCTAAATGTGCTCTTCCCCACCTCTCCTTAAGGGGAAGCTGAAACGGCGCGTTCCAGGGGCAGGACTCTCCCGTTCGATCAGGCTCCTGGTGTGGGGAATGCACGGTTTGGTGGGGCTGTGTGTCCTCTTGGAGAAGACGGGGCAGGGACACTGGTGGCAGGTGTTGGCCGGGGCCCCTGCCTGCACTGGAGTAACGGGTCTCGCTTGTCCCGCAGCCCGTGCTCAGCGCCGTGCTGTTTGCCCTGGCGGGCACCGTGGGCACGGTGGCTCACTACCTGCTCCCTCAGCTGCGCAAGCACCACCCCTGGCTGTGGATGTCACACCCCGTCCTCAGAAACAGAGAGCATGGGCAGCGCGAACTGAGAGGTTAGTGACAGACGCCTCGCTCCAGAAGGCACGGTGGGCACCTGTTGAGCCGGAGCAGCGTGGCCGTCCTTGGTGCTGGAGTGTGCCCGTGCAGAGGGCACCTGATGTATACTTTGCCACAATAAGAAAAAAAAAAGGTAGCATGTACCGTAGAAAATCCCCAGATTTTCTAGTCCACTGGAACAAGAAAGTTGAAGTGGGATGAGTTGGAAGTATGTTTTGTAAAAATATTAATAGGTTATTGGTATTGTGGAAAAATTAATTCATATCACTCAGACGTGCAGATTATACTGTTTCAGCTTATGTGCTTATAAATGACCAGGGACTAAGAAATACATCAGTTGGCCACCCTACCATCCTTCACAAAACAGCAGGATGGAGCAGAGACAGGACAGTCAGCTGCAGGACCACTGAGCCCTTGAACTCCCTCTAACCTGTGGCTTTGCTCACCTAGGTGGACGCCTGTGTATACCTGACTGATTTAGCAGTTCTGAGGTTGTCTCTGGCCACCATCGTGTAATAGCCTGGGACTCATGACAGTTTCAGAGTTTTAGACAGAAACAGATTTCTTCTAGACAAGAAATCTCTTAAGGATTTCTCTGCAAGGTCTCCCCTTGCTCTGCAATGTCGTGCTCTGTGCTGGAATAGACGGGAGAAGGACCGAGTTACCCCGATTTTCAGACACATCTGAGTCATCGGGCACAGATGGTGACCAGCTGTCTAATGCTGCTCATTCTCCACAGACATGTAGCCCTCTGTGACTTCCCAGTGGTGAAGTGAGTTACCCAGCTGTGTCATGTCCAGGCACAAAGCTATGTGAGGGGCACTGAGGTTTGCTGGCTTCAAAGAACGTTCTGGACTCAGCCAGGTTTATCGTCAGAAACTTCAGTAGGGGGCCGGCCCGGTGGCGCACTGGATAAGTGCGCTGCTTGGGAAGCGCGGCAGCGCTCCCGCCCGAGGGTTCGGATCCCACATACAGACCGGTTCCCGCTCACTGGCTGAGTGAGGCGCGGGAGCAACACCGAGGGTTGCGATCCCGTTGCTGGTCCCCGGTCCGGTACGGGGGCGACACTGAGGGTTGCGATCCGTTGCTGGACACGGAAAAAAAAAGACAAAAGACAAAAAAAAAAAAAAAAAGAAACTTCAGTAGGTTTGTGTGGTAAAAGGAAAAGGGGAATATCTTTAAAAGAAGGTGCAAAAGTCACTGGAGATGCTGTCCAAAACACAGAGAGTGTTTCTTCAAGAAACATCTCCAGGTTTGTTCAAGGAGCTGACTTAGTTAGAAACAGCCACGGGTGGAAGATGGTGGCTTGTTACATGGAAGGATGTGGCCTCCTGGGCTTGCCCCGGCACAGGGCTTGTAGCTCATCTTCTCTTCCCACGGAGACGGCCTCTTCACACCTACAAATGAGGGCTAGCCTCAGGATCAAGCTGTGCGATACAGTTTTTAATGTTCCGTACAATTTGCATGCTACTTAAATGTAAGTGAGGGTCTGTATTACAAAATCTAAAAGAAGGTGGACTCCATTTATCACGCTTCACGTATTTTGTGGTTCCCCTTTAGAGAAAGGTCCCTACCCCAACAGTTTGCCTGCCTGTGGATACACAGAGGGGCCTGATGAAAAAGGCTGGTTTCTACAGAACTTCTGCAGCATTAAGGTCACATTTCCTTTCTTTTTTAAACCTTTAGAAAGACTAAGTTTTGAAGAAGTGAGTGGAGTATTTTGGGGTTATTATTTTTATATCATTGGTAGGTATTTGGTGGAGATTTGAGGTAAGAAGCTTTAACTTGGGGAACTGTACATCTGTATCATCTAAACAGTACCTAGAACTAGGCCTAGTCTTCACCTGCACCCATCACAACACCTATATCTGTACCTTCACCTGTACCTACGCCCACGTCTGTACCTCAACCTAGACCCTAACCTATACCTGTACCTGTACCTTTATTTATAACCAAATATTTAAAAGCCTTGAGGTGAGGAAAGAACCTGTCAAATTGAAGGAAAGGAAAACGGGACAGATTCAGACTGGAATTCAACACTGAAGGATACGGGTGAGCAGTGAACAACTCAGGATTTTGTTTTTAAGTGTGGTTCTTTTCTCCCGTAAATCTAATAGAGCCCAGTTTAAATTAGAATCATTCAGCTATTTTAAGCTTGCATGGCCTTCTTAGTATGAGATTCAGGAACACGTACAGTGGGTGTGTGGGTCTGACTCCCCCGGAGGGTTGAGGCCTGGCTCTGCGGTCCCTGGGGAGGGGTCGGGACACGTGCGCTCGCCCGGGCTCAAGCAGAGGCTGAACGACCTTATCACTTGCCTGTGTTTGCTGTTCGTTAGCAGCCTGAAGTCTCACCAGGGGTCACATGCTTGACAAACTAGGCATGTAATGAAAAACTGATTCCATTTTAAAACTTGTGTGTTGGAAGGAAAGTCCCGATACATGAAATGTAACCTATGGTGGTGTGACGTGATGTAAGCAGAGCCACCCATCTGGTACCAGCCGTGTCCTAGGTTTCTTCGCCTCCTCTCCCTGACCCTCTGCCTCTTTGGGATTTCACACTTTATTTCTTCCACTAGCAACAAAACACACACGGTTGCACGACTTCTCGTGTGAAAGCTCCGCTCACATCTTCTTTCCTCCGGCAGCAGAGGATGCTGTCACTGGGAGTGCAGAGAGGGCAGGGCAGGGCCAGCAGGTGTGCAGTGTGTGTGTAGCACACGCACCCCCGGGACACCAGGGTCCCTGGCAGACATCACTAACCGAGAGCAGAGTCCCAGAACTGGGCCTGCGGCAGACAGTGCTAATCGACGGGAACTGGCGAGGAGATGAGGCGTATGAGCTGTGCCTGGCATGGAGTCTGTAGAACCCTGTCCCACTGTTTCATCTAGGCAGAAACTGAAGCCTAGAGATGTCCAAGGGTGTGACTTGGGTCCCAGTGGTTTTGTGGCCAGCGAGTGACTGGAACTCTGGTCATCTCACTCACGTCCAGCCCGGCTCCTCCTGCCCATGCCGCCCCCAGTGCAGGCGGGCAGAGGGTGCACGCTCCAAATGGGGCTCGCAGGCTGGTTTTGAGTCACCCTTACCCAGAAGAGCCACGTGTCTCTGGCTACGGTGGGTCCTGTAAAGTCTAACGTGCCATGCTCTAATGCCAACACCACAAGGCTTCCACCCCTGGTTTGAAATAGACTCGCCACGGTAAATTCTGGGCATTCTCGGGGGTTTTCAAACACACCACAGTCTCTCCCTCTCCTCTCCTGCCGTTTCCTTTACTTGGGATGCTGTTTCTCCAGTGTCACCAGATGAACACCAGGTCTCTGCTTAAAATCAGTCCCTCCAGGAGGCCTCCCTTGACCACCTAAGCTTCCCTGGCTTCCCCCCTGTTCCCCGAGCCCGCAACCATAGCAGTCCCCGCCTGCAACTACTAGTGTCTGACGGAGGCTGAGGTCCACGTCCTCCTGCACCTGCTGGTCCTCTGAGCTCATTGTGGAGTAGACATAGGCCCACAGGCGTGTGTGCTAAACAGCACTTAATTTAAATATCGCCCCTGTGTATTCACGGAGCAAACTTTAAACAGGATGCACATTCTTCACTTCAGTCTGCTGTCCTTTCCACACCCTTCGGCTGTATACTTCTCTGTGGTAGAACACAGAGATACCAGATTAATTTCGATGTAAAATTCAGACTTTGATAACATGGGTCTAAGTAGTTCACTGAGGTTGAAGGCCATAAATTGAAACTTTTGTTAGTCAATTCAGTCCTTTACCTTTGACACTAATTTATCTGAAGTAAACCTTATCCCATCCTAACCACAGTGTATCCTTTCACCAATATTTCAGCCCAGAGAATAAAATTCTATCACATATAGCACAGTTCAGCAGCCAAATGTATCATCGTGGTCACATAGACATAACTGAGTCATATTAACGTAAACATGTGAAGTTGCTCTTTTAAAAAAACCATTTGCGAGGTCAAGGGTTCAGACCCTGTACCAACCAGCCATCATCTTACCCCCTGAAAATAAAATAATAAATTTTTAAAAATTGCCATATTTTCCACCAATCTAAGTGAATCATGCCGAACATGACAGAGGAAATAGCACTGCAGGAAGCACCGTATTAGTCAGATATAGAACTTTCGAGCAAATGTTAAAGGAGCACTGCATTTTTGGAAGATAAATCTGATTCAGTGAATTATGATGATGATTCCAGAAAAATAACTTCATCGACTGACTCCTGGTGTAAAGGAGTAAAATGTTGGATCTATTTGAAAATTTGTCTTATCTAAGAACTTTCCAAAGGAGTTAGGATTCAAGGAAAATTGAAGTGATCTGATTTGATGACTATCCTCTTTACCATAAAAATGGGTTTCTATGGAGTTGAAAGAGATAGAGACAAAGGATAAGTACATTACTGGAATTCACTTCTTGTTTACTCAGAAAATGCTTATGAATATACGTTCATTCATTCAAAAAGTAATTATCGAGTTCCTATATGTGGCCAAGCCCTGTGAACCAGTGACATTGGATTGACTAAGATGTGGTTTCTATTGTCAAAGAGCTTACGGTCTACTAAATAAACCCGCAGCTGTGTCACAATAGAGGAGTCGTGATTGCTGCAGACACCTGGTGATGTGGGATGAGGCACCGTGTTCCGCCCCACAAGAAATACAAAGAATTAGAGACCTGTGACCCAAGTGAGCAGCTGCCATTCAGATATGCAGCATTGCATATGTTGGACTGGATGTGCATATGAAACGGAAAACACATGGAATTATATGATTGCATGTTGAATTAATATCTGGTGCATAGTAGTATTCAGTAAATATTGGTCGAATGAACGAATGAAGATTAGTGCTTTGTAAATTCACTGAAGGAGGAGTTTCCTATAGGCTGATGTGGGCAGAAAGTCTCTTGAGGTAAAGGGTGGGTCGAAGGACTCACGGGTGCCTGTGTCTGGTACTGAAAAGCTTGCTGGTTGCTGAAAAGCTTAAACTATAA